AAAGTGTCACTAGTCAGTCTAATACTATTTTATATTATAAGCTCAAAATATTGATATTAGGTGACTAGGTTAGTAAATGAGGTGAGAAATTTGACTTCAAAGTTTAACTATGAGATTATAAAAATTGAAGCTTTGAACTTTTGTGAGACCTGACACTTTTAGAACTTCAATTTTTCTGTCGAGTATACGCGACTCATTTATACCAATGTTCAAGTTGATTGCATCTCATTACAAGTCAGAGTATGTACTAATAGAGACACAAAAGTTGTTCATTGCATCGAGATAGTCTATTTATCTATCTATTCTATTTATATATAAGAAAACAAATAACTCATTAAAAGACAATTATACCCTCTAAAAATTCTTTGTGTCTTTCTCTCCGCAATTCTCTCCTTTAATATACACCTGACACGTGGCAAATGAAAGGATGCATTAACACTTGGCATTCATTAATGGGTCCCATTGTATAAAAAAATACCATTTTCTTTAAATTGTGGTAACCTTTTCATTTTTTCTCTAATTTTCATAAAAAATATATCAAAGTTCACAACTTTTTATGATCTTTCATATGACATCAATATTGTATATATAAAAATTAAAAATAAAATCTGACAGTTTATTAAATAATCTTCCTATTTTCAAACCTCGAAACAAATTTTTCGTATTAAATAAATAAACAATTCCTAACATATGAGTTATTAATTTTTAGTAACTCTAATTATATTTAAAATTATAGCCACTTTTCTGGTTGAATTGACTGAAGTTATTGTAGAAGACTATTTTACCTACTTCTTGATATATATTTTTACTTATTTTATTAATAAATTATATTTTAAAATATTGTTTCTCCATATCTCAACAAATTCAGTCAATTCAACCAGAACGTCGTCAATTATAATAGATTCAGGCAATTTCTATGTTACCAAACAAACTCTAAATAACATTCTAAATGAAGAATATGTTCAATATATGTTGGTAAAGACAATATAAAACAAGCCCATGATTTTTAAATGTCAAATGGTCCATTAAATTAGTAAAAATATTATGATAGTTTAAAAATATACTTTTTATCATCATCTCCATTAATTTTTACAAATGTTATAAAATCCAAAGTCAACCTTTTAAAATCATGTCATGGTGTACACTGAAACGTATATTCCACCACGAACTGAACAAATTTAATTTCAAGTGATATTATTGATTGGTTCTAATGTGTGAAGAAACTTTTTATCATTAAATTGATAACACTAAAATGATTTAATACCCATATCAAAATTTGCTTTTCGAAAAGGATTAGCTCTTGGTATTTCTTTTATTCTTTGATATATTTTGATATTCAAGATCCAATTTAGTTACATTTTTGTCCACCAATATTTATTTTGAGAGGTTTTTTCTTATAATCAGTTTGATATAAATTAAAACATAATTACAATTCTTGAAATTCAATAACTCACATTTTTATCCAGTATAATGATTTTGGTCTTAATTCTGAATTACTTCCTTATTATCGATGTTGTAAAATAGAAAGGTATTTTTTTCAAATTGGATAAGCTCATGATCGTGACTCATGTTCTAACAAAGAGTCACCTTGTATTAATGAAAGTGTAACATAATTTAATTTATCTCAATCAAAATAAATGCCCTATTTTATTAAAGTGCGACATCTTTTTTATTTGTACCTAATTGTTACAAAAAATATCAAAAGATATTAAAAATTGGAGTAATTTTTAATATCTCTCGCGAAAAATAAAAAACTTATTTAGTACTTTACAAAAAAATTGTTTTGTAAATTGTGATATACTTTTTGTAACAATGATAGTATCTCCTAAAAAATAGACATATTTTCAAGTGTTACATTGTCTTTGTGTGTGTGTATGAAATGTTGGTCTCATATGAAAGATGATAAAAAGTTATACTTTTGATACAATTTTGTTGAAAAATGTTGATATTGTTAAACAATACTTCGCATTAGATAAGCATAAGATAAGGGGACTAGAAATTGAACAAGATGATTTTATCTCTCATATGTATTGCTCTTAGGTATAAGAAGATTAGCGGGCTAAAATTTGAGTGAGAAATTTCTCATCTCATATGTAGTGCTTTTAAGCATAAGATAAGCGGACTAATAATTGAAAGAGAAAATTTTCTGTCTCATACGTAGTGTTTTTAGGTATAAGAAGATAAATGTGTGATAATTAAGCGGGAAAATTTTCTCTCTCATACATAATGTTTTTTAGTTTAAGAATAAAAACAAATGAGCGTGGACATTTTCTCTTCAGATGTAATGCTTTAGCTATAAGATAAACATACTAAGAGCATCCACATTGACACTCCTCAGTATTACGGTTTTTTATGGCTTATTATTATTATTATCATGTCACTTCCACATAAGAAAATCTCAAATAATGTTCAAATCAACTACTTTCTCCTCAACCATGATCTTAATTTACCAATATTGTTCATAAGACATACACTCAATTTCAAGAAAACAAATTACATGCAACATTCCTCAAAGAAATATAAGTAGAAGCAGTAGTTGGTTGGTATATGGTTTTACAATTATGAGTATGCCTAGAAAATTGGAAATAATTTTAAATAATCTAGATTTAAAATTTGATCCCAGATGTTTTCATCAAATAATCTCTTCAAATAATCCTAACATCTCAACCATAATCTCAAAAAATATCACGCACATCATCAAAATAATCTCTAAATAATCTTATGGATGAGGATGCCCTAATAATTGACGGGGCGAATTTCATTTCTCATATGTAGTGCTTTTTGGCATAAGATAAGTGGTTAGTTGAGCATTATATTTTTCTCTCTCATATGTAATGCTTTTAGGTATAAGAAGATAATAAACGGACTAATAATTGGGTGGGAAAATTTCCTATTTCATATGTAGTGTTTTTTAAGTACAAGAAGATAAGATAAGTGAGTTAGTAATTGAGCGGAAGAATTTTCTTTTTTATACATAGTGATTTTAGGTATAAGAAAATAAATGTGCTGACAACTGAGCGGGATAATTTCCTCTCTCATACGTAATGCTTTTAAGTATATGATGATGATGATGATATGGTTTTAGGTATAAGAAGAAAATAATTGATCAGGCAAATTTCGTCTCTCATATGTATTGCCTTTATGCATAAGATAAGCATAAGATAAGGGGACTAGAAATTAAACAGGATGATTTTATCTTTCATATGTAGCGTTCTTAGGTATAAGAAGATAAATGGACTAATAATTGAGGGAGGAATTTCCATCTCATATGTAGTGCTTTTAAGCATAAGATAAGCGGACTAATAATTGAGCGGGAATTTTTTTTGTCTCATACGTAGTGTTTTTAGGTATAAGAAGATAAATGTGTGATAATTAACGGGAGAATTTTCTCTCTCATACGTAATGCTTTTAAGTATAAGAATAATTGAGTGTGGACATTTTCTCTTACATATGTAATGCTTTAACTATAAGATAAACATACTAATAATTGACGGGGCGATTTTCATCTCTCATATGTAGTGTTTTTTGGCATAAGATAAAGGGACTAATAGTTGAGTAGTATATTTGTCTCTCATTTTTAATGTTTTTAGGTATAAGAAGATAATAAGCGGACTAATAGTTGGACATTTGGTTATCTTTGTATGGAATTTCTCATGAATTATAGAAAGATAGGCTAAAGAGTCAAATAGGCCCTTGAACTGACTTAAAATGTTCAATTAGCCGCTTATATAGGAGGTTCTGCTCGGCCTTCGTTAATTGGGGCGGTTCCCGGTGGAATTTTGTGATGAAATTTTTTGAGCATCTTTTTCATTAAGTCTAGTTTACCCATACCAAATTTCAGCTAAAAATTCAACAAGGAAGACAATCAAATGATTTTCCGAAATTACTGCGCTGTTTAACTTCGCAGTTATCTTAAAAAAATCATGGCTAAAGAGTCAAATAGGCCCCTGAACTAACTTAAAGTGTTCAATTAGCCCCTTGAGGTTCTGCCCGGCCGTCGCTGATTGCATGGGGCGGTTCGCGGTGGAATTTTTTGATGACAATTTTTGAGCATCTTCTTCATTAAGTCTAGTTTACTCATACCAAATTTCAGCTAAAAATTCAATCGGAAAGGCAGTCAAATGATTTTTTGAAGATAACTGCGAAGTTAAACAGCGCAGTACATTTCGGAAAATCATTTGACTGCCTTTCCGGTTGAATTTTTAGCTGAAATTTGGTATGAGTAAACTAGACTTAATGAAGAAGATGCTAAAAAAATTTCATCAAAAAATTCCACCGGGAACTGCCCCAATTAGCGACGGCCGGGCAGAACCTCCTATATAAGGGGCTAATTGAACATTTTAAGTCAGTTCAAGGGCCTATTTTACCCTTAAGCCAAAAATCATTTAACTGCCTTCCTGGTTGAATTTTTAGCTGAACTTTGGTATGAGTAAACTAGACTTAATGAAGAAGATGCTCAAAAAAATTCATCAAAAAATTCCACCGGGAACCGCCCCAATTGGCGACGGCCGGGCAGAACCTCATATATAAGGGACTAATTGAACTTTTTAAGTCAGTTCAAGGGCCTATTTGACCCTTTAGCCTAGAACGATATAAACTCCACTACCCCCTTCTTATGGTGAATCTTTTTGTCTTCATGTGTCCTGATTCATTTGTCATTTCCTTAAACACAATTGTGATCATTATTGTGTCGATTTCCTCAAGTTCAATTGCGTACTTTCCTTTCAAAAAAAGTTTCAATTTCGTACTTCTTTCTTTGTTAAAAACCTTGTCAAGGTTGAAAGGGAAGAATAAAAAGGAACGGGAGAGTAAGGCTCCGCATATTCATAATTGTATCATGATGGGAGGTCATGCAGTTTAATATCTGTAACCTACTCATAATCATGTAAGTTATATGTTACTATCAGGCGGCGTTAGGACAAAAGCATGGAAGGGCACCCGCTCTCTCCAATCTCCAGCTATATATATTAATTATTAAATGATCAGACATCAATTGTGATACTCCACCCGAAGACTTGAAAGGCATTTTAGCCGTAGTTAGGCTCCTAAACAAGCAATGAAGCTTTCGGGGGTGATAGTGTTGGTTATGGTGGTAGTGGTCACGGCCAATTTGGTGCAAGAAAGCAAAGGTAATTCTTGCGGGGCGACATTCTTCTCAGCGCTTGTTCAGCTTATACCGTGCAGGGCTGCAGTTGCTCCTTATAGTCCCGTACCACCAGGCGAGGCTTGCTGTGCAGCCATCAAGGCGCTTGGTCAGCCTTGCTTGTGCGTGCTCGTGAATGGCCCACCAATCTCCGGTGTTGATCGGAACATGGCAATGCAGCTTCCTGACAAATGCACTGCAAATTTTGAGCCATGTAAAAACCTCTCCTATCTCTACATTGCCAGCTTTACCGTTTTTTACAAAATAACAACTCATTTTCGTCATATTATACTTTATTATTTTAAAATTTAAACACAACAGTGATGGAATAAAGTTTTTAAACATCTCTGTGTGCACACTTATAATAATTCATTCATTAAAATAATTCAGAAAAAAAGAATTTGGTGGTTAATGATGCATTAGGGATGGTTAAAGGAGAGGTAAATATAGAACCATGACTGCACCATGACCCATAAAAAAAACCTATTTACACCAGAACAGTTCGGTGCGGATTTCCAGCAAATTGGATAATGGATATAGTTGCCAGTGTAACTCTACTCACTCGTGCCTGCTTAATGTGTGCAGGCGAACTCATGTAGATGACAGAAGTAGAGGATTTGAAATAAATGTGTGGAGGGCTTTGTTGACCATCTCTTGAATAGGATTGCTGGAGCACAGCTGTTTTCTTTCAGTAGTTTTTATAGCAGATATTGTCACTGATATTATAATGCTTATTACGCACTAATCATATTTGTTAGTTAAGAATACAACAAAATAGATGAGAATATAAAATCTCACTATAATCAGGGCTGCTTGTGCAAATTTGAACTGTATTATTCCACACCATTGCTTTCAGTTCAAAGACTAACTTCACCAGAAACTATTCCACATAAATAATTCGTTCATCGTCGTTGTCATCACCTTCCCATTCACCGACATCCTCATTCTGTTCAACTGAGTTGGGCCTGTCATCAGCAGGAAAGTCATCCGCCTTCTTCTCATTTTCGCTCTTTATTCTATCCAATATTGCAATAACCTGAAAGAATGTCAATTGTTGCCAACTTGCTAAGCACAAGCTTAAATCCCGGTGAAATTAGCGAGTTCGACACATGGAAAAAGTAATAGTTTCTCATACTGCCAAAACGGGCAACTGCATTATGCCATTTTATAATCACTTGGCCTTTAAATTACACAAATAATACCAAACCAAGACCATGTCACAAATAAAGCTCACACTGACGGTAGCAGCAGTTTTGTCATCTATATGCGTAGAATAAACTACAACAGCACTCTGTGTGTGTATGTGTCTGTTTCATGTCCAGATTCCAGTAATGTACTTCAAAAAAATTGGTACAAAGGCACATTTAAGTACTAATTACCAAGACATATCTAAAGCTTTTAAGCACTATTTGAATTGAATATTGATGACAGCCATAGTTTTGTAAATAGTCATATCTGACAATTTTGGTCCAGAAATTACATCTTACTATAATAGTTTAGCTGCTTCCATGTTTAGGTACTTTTCTTTATGATCTTTAATTCTTTTTCACAATGTTTTATACTTTATGCTCTTTACCCCCTTTACTAATATTTTCTTTTATTTCAAGTAAAATTTAGTTCACACAATTTTTACTAATATCTTCAAAGCCCTCATTTTTACCAGCAGCGTACAACTCATTCTACAAAGACCGTGCTTCCGAGTGGGACTTACTCAGTATGTTAAGATTGGTTTGGTTACAATTATATCCTAGTTGGTGAGAATGGACTGCTACAATTTAATAAACTTCTGCAATCCAACAGGGAGTTAATATTATAATAACTACTTAAGTGCTATTACTCACCCTGCTTCCTCTCTCAAGAGACTCATCTTCAATAAATCTGATTTCGGGAGTAAGTCTCAACTTTATGCGCTTTCCCAACTCTCCTCGTACATATTTTTCTTTTGACTTCAAGCCTGCAATAGCCACTTCCCTTCCTCTTTCATCCCCAAAAATAGAGACATATACTTTGACAACCTACACAAAATGAACCAGCCTCATCTTGAGTCCCAAAAATGTCATCTTTAAGATATTTTAAACCCAATGCAACAAATGTTTTGACGTTTTGTTCATTTAATCAACTGTAAAGTCCACAAGACTGTTCCATACTGAAGTGCATCCTCTGAGCAAAACATGAAACAATATTGTCTCATCTAATCTTCTTCTTCAATTAAATTGGAGAATAATGCCTCAGCAACATATACTACAAAAGTAAAAGGAGACCTTTTATACCTTGCTCCAAAAATGATCATCATAGGAACCCAAAAGTTTTGACTTAGAAAAGCAAACCCAGAACACATTTAACCTGTAAATCGGCTGAAACTTCAACGTCGCTGATAGAAGTAAGCGAAGAGAGATACATATCAGCTCCGAGAGCGGCTTCGGGCAGAATCGCGTACTGTAAAACCTTATCCGTCAATAACATGCTCGAAAGCTCTCTCCTTATCTGGTTAGATACCATTTTCACTCTCCTGGGATTAGCCATGCATTTTACAAGGCCGCCTCTTCTATATCCGCCGCGAGATGTGAAAAGTCGGTGGAGTAATACATGCCGGAGAAGGCTGGGCGCAGAAATCGACGGCGAGGGATTATTTGAATTTGTGATTGAACTTGATCTTAAAGTAGGGGAAGGACATAACTGCGGATTCTGGACGAGAACCGGCTGCATTACGAAGTCCTTTCAACTCGGATCTGCTTTTCGCCGGAAAGGTTACCGGGAAGGAAAGAGAAATCTATAAGATCCGACTGCTATGCCGGAGGACGTTTTTGGAGATACAACTAGAGTCTAAAGTAAGTAGTCCAATGCTTTCTGGACGGCATTAGAAATGGAGAAAGCCCAAAATATACACGGGTAGTGCGTTTGCGAAGCCCAAATCGAATTGCCAAAAAAAATGGAACCAACCGGTCAGGGAAAATAATAACTTTGCAAAATATTATCTTTGTGAAAGATGAGATTTATGATATAATGATTTGCAAAGATAAGAAAATAGTTTGGGTTAGCAGGTCATCAACCGGTCAGGGACCAGTGAATGAAGATGAGATGCAAAGGTTGGATTATTCATGAATAACCAAAAGGTTGGATTATTGTAAGAAGACCGCTAAAAGGTTGGATTATTAGTTTCCATTTTCCCATTTTATAATTATAATAGGAGTCAATGAAATTATTAAACGCACTTAACAATCACTCGTTGCTAAAAAATTTCAAAGTTAGAAAGTGGCAAAGCCTAAAAGCATCTCTAATGGGAGGGTGCATTGGAGTGATGTGGCATAGGAGAGAGATAGAGATAGAATGAATATTTGGATGAAGTGGTGTGTAGGGAAAAATGAAAAAGATGAGAGACATAGAGATAAAAATGGACCAAGATCTATGACAAGGTCCATATATGGACCTTACACGGGATTTGAGGAAGAAAAGTTGATGAAAAGTGGGTTAAAAGTGATATAAAAAATAAAAATGAAAATAAATTAGGAAATATGTGGGTCCTATACATAAAAATTGTGAGATAAAAAAAATGGGACCCATACGTAAGGGTGTGTAAGAGACCACACTCTTGCATTGGAGTTGCTCTAACTGATGTCTAGGGTTAGCTTTGTGCGGTCGTAGTAATTGAAGGATATCTATCAGTCAAGGTTATCTATCAGTCAAGAGTGAAAGACTAACATAGAAATAGTCAATAAGAAACTAGAAGAGGAAAAATGAAGCAGAGAGGTTTGCGGATAAGAGAAGAAATCTGAAGGCCAAGAGGCGAGAGGAAAAAGAGGCGAGAGGAAAAAGAGGCGAGAGGAAGAAGAGGGAGGGGATTATGTGCTTTAGGTTAGGGGAGAAGAAATAAGGGGAATCGGGGATGTGGTGGGAGACGGGTAAAAAGAGGAAGGGAAAGGTAAAAATGGAGGAGGTATATATGCCGTGTACACGAGCGTGTAAAATGCCGTGTACACAACGCATTTTTGATACTTCTAAGCGCCTTTTCTTTGACTTTTGGAATCGCAGACAAGTCAACTGTTTCTCTGGTTTGCTGCTAGGAAAGAGTGTCTTCTTTCATACTCCCTCCGTCCCTGAATGTACTTCCATAGAACAAATGACACATGGATTAAGAAAGTGAGAAATGTGTGGTGGAGAGTTGTGTAGAGGAGAGAGAAATGTGTAAGTATGTGTAAGAATTGTTGTGAACCACAAATTCTTTGCCAAAAAGGGAAAGTGAAGTTCTTTTTGGGACAGACGAAAAGGGAAAGTTGGAAACATTTTCAGGGACAGAGGGAGTATTATTTAATCTAAGGAGTAACTTAGGTGGCACATAGCTTGACTCAATGAAGGAAGTCATCCCGTGATATAACCCTTCGATCCCTCTTCCTTCTTTGCCTACGACACTTCCATATAATCCAACAGTTCATTACCATCATATGTATTCGATCTTCATTTTCGTGAACTCACCACCTTTAATATTTCAATCACGAATTTTGTTAACAAGATCCCGATACTTATGTCATTCACAATTTCATGATATTAGATGTTATTGTTACTCTTAGTCTTAAATAACGAGCATTGATACGCGCATGTGAATTGGAAAGCTAAACCAAGCCTAAAGAGATGGACCATCATTCAGCAATTTCTCGCATTGAAAGTTTACCTAGAAATAAACATTGTTATCCTTTTGCAAATTCAGTAGTATCCTCTGGAGAGGCTTCCCAATATCCAAACTTGGGGCGATTACATTATCTATTTATAAAATCAACCAGGCTATCGGAGAGCGTGAGGGGGACCCCATGTCCCCATTGTAAGTTCACTGAATAGATAGTCGTCAAACTCATCATGAAGTCTGATAGCTTGAGATTGAAGTGTATAGTATAAGTGAGCATATGATGTTTTAATTGGAATTAATTTGTTATTTAAATTTATTTAAATTTAGTCTGCAGTGTCAAAAGTCTAGTGTAATATTTAAATCTCATTTGATCTAATATTGAAGATAGTGGAATTTAAAACACTATACTCTCTCTTATAGTGACAAACTAGCTTTCAAGCCCGTGCGATGCACGGGCAGTATGTAATTTAGCTAATTTGAAATTTAATTTCTATCAGATCACATATAATGTGATTTAAAAGAAAAATAAACTTAGTATAATATGGAGTCTGTTTGATAATACTAAAGTAAATAGAATTAACTTATTTTGCTGAAATTGATTGTATTCTGGTTAAATAGGTGGAATCTTCTGAATCATGAAATATATATGTGAAATATATTCCATTTGTGAAACAAAGAAAAAAAATATGAAAAAAAAAGTTAAATGGTCTTCTACATAAGCATCTCAAGTAAACATAATTGTTATGAACCCAATAATAATAAAAAATTCTATATTTCTTAATTGTTAGATCTTACAGTTTACTCATTAATAAGAACGTTTTTAATTGAATTAAAATTTCGGGTTTGATTTGGTGTGAATTAATATGGTCTATTAGATGTCTGTTTTTATGTGACTTATTGTTATACTCCCTCCGTCTCTAAAAGGATTGCCAAGTTTGACCGACACGTAGAATAATAAAGTAAAAATTATGTGGTAGAGGTTTGTGCAGAGGAGAGAGAAATAACAGGAACCACAAATTAATTGATTAAAAGGGAAAGTGACAAAGTTTTTGGGACAACTAAAAAAAAAGTTGGCAAAGTTATAAGGGACGGATGGAGTAATTATTAAAGTTTGATCTGATCTGATTTAATCTGGAACTGAAATCAATCCAATTAAAAACATTCTATTAAAATAAAAGTAGGAATTTGTAAACCTATAAAGATTTTCTAATTTGGATTAGGAATCTATTTCAAAAGTGAAGGCATATTTGAATTTTAGGTGTAAAATAAGAAACAACCAAAAAAATTTACTTATTTGGCTAAGCTAAATATATTTACTTGTGAAAATATATACTTTATGTTGGTTATAATTTTTAATTTCATTTTTAATTATTTACTTATTTGAAGCTTACTAATTTATTAATAGGTTTCAAATTAATAAGTAAACTAATTTACATATTTGTTTCTATTTAAATCGGTGTAGTAAACTAATATAAATTAGTTTCCATATCAATAAACGTTATTAGAATTTTACTTTGATAACCAAAAATTATTTTACTTATTTGAAGCTTACCAAATTAGTTAAGGTGGATTTATAAGGATTTTTGTTTCCATATTAATATGCAATCCAAAATAGAATCTAATAAAAACAAAAGGTATAAAAATAATAAATAATTGTTATATATAATGACATGGCAAGATTATGTGGCGCTTTGTATGCTCTTAAAAAGTTCCTCTTATATATATATATATATATATATATATATATATATATATATATATATATTGATTTTTAAGGAAGTGGAGGCAACTAACGTTAATAATATTGATACTGGCAACTTTTATGGGAAATAAAAGTAATCCCTCCCTCCCATTTCGATTGTCTTACTTTCCTTTTTGGATTATCCCAAAATGAATGTCTTGTTTCCTTTTTTGGCAAACAAATATGTGGTCTATCATTTTACTTTATTCTACTCCCATCTCAACAACAATTTTTATTTTTCAATCATTTTATTAATAATTGTGTCACATTGAAAGTGAACAACCAATATGGAACGGAAGTATGTAGCATAATATAAAGATAATAACATAACTTACTACTGAATAACAAAAGTACTATACTTTAATATCATAGTTCTACTACGTACGTAGTACTACCTCCGTCCCAAAAAGAGTTGCAAATTTGACTTTTCTTAGTCAAACAGTCTCGTTTTGTTCACTTAATTAAGATGTCAATTTTTAATTATTTTCTGATTTGGATTTTACAACTTTGAAGAGATTTTAATGTAGTTTTTGAATATGTAAATTTTAATTATTAAAAATTGAATTAATTATCCACAGGGAGGGTTGACTTTTATTATTGGTTAACCAAAAAATGTTGACTTTGCAAAACAAATTGGGACGGAGGAAGTATTATTTATTGTTAAAAGAGGGTTTGCAATTGCTTTTACTTTTAAAACACGATTTTCTAGAAATTATATAAAAAATGATTAAAAGTTAAAGTTAATAAGTGTTTCAATAATAAAAGTTATAGTGTTAGTGTTACCGAAGAGTGTAGTGTACAGTGGCGGAGCCAGGATTGGCAGATTACAGGACCTGAGGCTTAAAGAATTTATATAGCAGTGGCCAAAACTTAAATTTTCACTATATTTTTACTACTTACAAATATTTATACATATACACATATAGGGTAAGGTTCAAGTGAGAAGAACCCTTTGGGTGAGAAATGAGAATGAATCTCAGCCATTGGATTCGACTAAGTTGCAGTAAAAGATACTTCATGATGCACTGAAATATGCAATCTAGCACAGTGACATTTCTGTAAATACTTCTGAAAATTCCGTATTACACGTGTCTAGTGCAACATGAAGCTATTTCGGTGCAACGCCGTCAAATATTAATGCATCATAAAACAATTTTAGTGCAACATGTGCAAAATTTAAATATTACTGCAACATAAAGCCAATTTTAGTGCAACTTCGTAAATCCAATGGCTGAGATTCATTCTCATTTCTCACATTAGATGCATTTCTCACCTGAACCAAAATCTACACACACACACACACACACACATATATATATATCTACACCTACAAACTTATAAAGGTGAATGAAGGTTAGGGCTATTTAGGAAAGTAAAATGTGTTGGTGTAACATAATGAAATACTTAGTTGTACTCTATGCTATCTATGTTGCCCATTAAAGTCAAAACCTTTTGTTGCTATAGCTTCTGTT